AAAGGGGCCAACGGAAAAACAACCCGTTGACCTATTTTCCCTTAAAACACCCCAGTAAATGCCCGGGTTCCCATCGATGGTCCCCTGCCCCTTTCAACCTAAAATTTTCACATTGCAGTATAGGTTGCAGTATCGCTGATGCGTTTAATCACAAAACCCCTTACCAGCAGAAGATAAAGACGGGCAAACAAATGCCCCCTTTAAAAAGTTTTCAAACCCACTTGTAACCCGGTCAACTCCCCCAGGAATTTTTGCGATGGGGGCCCAATCACAATAGCAAAAGTCTTAGGGAGTCTCCCCTGATGGCATACCTGTCTGTTTCGCTTATCCATTTCCCACCTCGATCGGGGTTTGCTTGACCCGACTTGGCCACAACACATTCCAAGCCAGGATGCGCCCCAACAATCGCTCCCATCAAGGGGTTTACTTTCCCAGGGGAATCCTTTCTCCCCCAGGGGAAAACAATGGTTTTTTTTTGCTAAACGGGAGGCGAGTAGACTTTTCTTTCAAAGAGGGTTTTTCTCTACAGAAAAGTTAAGAGACCCCTCCGAAAGGGAAATTTTTTTCGGATATTGCTCCCAAAAGGGAACATGTCTCCAGGGGTTTTAAAAAAACCCTTCCATGATGATCGGGGGCACCTGGGGTGGAAAAAACCCTCTCGGACTCACCCGTGCAGGTTTTTTTGGCCCAAGATGGGAGCTGAGGTTGAGCAATATGTAAGAAACTGCGGAAGATGCGTCACTCGTAAAGCACTTCCACAGCGAGCTGCTCCTTAAAACAGATAACTAGTCAAGGCCCTCTTGACCTTGTGTGCATTGATTTTTTGTCACTTGAGTCGGACTCACAGGGGTTTTCCAACATCCTAGTAGTGACAGATCATTTTACGCGATATGCCCAAGCATTCCCAGCTAAGGACCAAACAGCTGCCACGGTGGCAAAGATCCTTTGTGAGCGTTACTTTGTCCATTATGGACTCCCAGTAAGAATACATTCGGACCAAGGGAGGGATTTTGAAAGCAGACTGATCCGAGATCTCTTGAAGATGCTTGGGATTCGTAAGTCAAGAACGTCTCCCTATCATCCGCAAGGAGACCCACAGCCCGAAAGATTCAACCGTACACTTTTGTCAATGCTCGGAACCCTTGATCCAAAGCAAAAGAACAAGTGGAGTCAAAAGATAGGTCAGTTGGTTCACGCCTACAACTGCACTCAAAATGAGGCAACAGGGTACTCGCCCTACTTGTTAATGTTTGGACGAGAGGCCCGGCTACCTATAGACATATGTTTCAGTGTGTCGGATGAAAGTCAAAAGTCTGTCTCCTATCATCAGTATGTCATCAAACTGAAGAAAGATCTCGAGAGAGCTTATGACTTGGCGACAGAGACAGCTGACAAGAATCATAAACAGAACAAAGCAGCCCACGATAAGCATGTGAAAGAACAAGTTCTGGAAAAAGGGGACAGAGTTCTACTGAAAAACTTTGGTGTTACAGGAAAACAAAAGCTGAAAGCCAAATGGAGGCCCATACCCTATTTTATTGTGGATAAGTTGCCCAATTTCCCCGTTTACAAGATTAAACCTGAACGAGGTGGGGGTGCAGAGAAGACGGTTCATCGGAATCATTTGTTGCCTATTGGATACCTTGTGAGACTTCCATTGGATGACAGTGGCACAGATCCACCAGAAAGATGCAGAACAAGAGCGCAACAAAAGGTGGGCGGACTCCTAAAGCCTTCCAACCATGAAGAGGAAATGTACTCAGAATCAGAGTACGAGGAAGTATTCTTACCCAAGCCACAGGGTGTAGATTTGGATGGACTACTGACTCATCCAGAGCTGTCCAACAGAATATCTGGGCTCACTATCAGTGAAAGTGATAAAGCAAGATCAGTCCAGAATTTGAGAGAACTGGAGGCAGTTTCTAGTACCTATTCAGACGTTATTGCTATTCCTGATTCAACCCTTGATCCAGTGGAGGAAATAGACATCTATCCACCACAGATCCCTGCTAAAAGATCACAGAGAGTTGCCCGACCTGTAGTTCGGTTGAGCTACAATGAACTCGGAAAGCCTTCTGATCAGGCGGTTACAGTCTTCAGCCATGGAGCGTTGGTGGGAAGTGGAATGTACCAAGTCCCTAGAAGCCAGTTTTGCCATACCTTCTGGTGCCACCCCATGGCCATGTGTGAAACATGTTCTAGGGCGAGTTCTTATCAAAACTGTTCTTTGATAGTTGTCTCTCGTTAATTTTGATGGGGACATCAAAACCTTCTAGAAGGGGGAAGATGTAGCCCAGTGACAAACTGAGGTTATGGTAGTTACTATTTGTTAAGGTTAATTTTACATAGTTCAAAATAAGATACAAGTATATTAAAAGTAAATTACTGTTTACTCAAACATACATTGGGGAACAACTAAGTGTTTAGTATTCTTCTTTCTGAACGGAATACAGTGGTATGTTCCTCCACCTTAATAGTTGAATAATATAAAGGTCACTATTGAGTAATTATCTTATTTGATGATTAAAACTATTGTTTGTTAGTGAGCTATTGTGTAAATATTGTACTGAAAGAAGCAGTGTGACGTCAGCTGCACTGGTTTTCTCTGATCTCACGATTTTGATTGGCAGCGGGGACAGTTTGTCCGGTGCGGGAGGGGGATTTGTGAGGAGAAGGAGGAAGCGGGAAAAAGAAAGGAGAGAGGAAGAGAGAGTGAGGAGTGGAGAAGGGAGGTGTACGAGAAGAAAAAAAAAAAAAACAATAACCAAAAAGAGGAATAAATAAGAACGAAGAAAGACAGACGAAAGGGAGAGATAAAGGGACATCAGGACGAAAGAGCACGGAAGTCGGGAGAAATTGACAGAGTTCAGTTGACGCTGGAGGGACGGGCCAAGAGGGGACCGGAGCAAATGGTCGCGACGGACTTCGGGCTGAGCTAAGTGGGCTGACGTTTTAGAGGCACGGTCCGGCGGCAGCCGTTGAGCCCCTGCCAGAAGTTGAGAGGAGGGAGGCATCTCAGCGTTTCCTACGTTGTCCCCGAATTGCACCGCTCTCAAATTGTTTTTTTTTTCCTTCGTCTTCCCTCTGGGATTTCAACGTCTACTTCTCGTCGGTCACAGGCCTGCAACGTTGGGTTTTCTTGTTTTTTTTTTGTCTCTCCATTTCTCCACCACCATTTGAGGGTCGTGAGTATAACTGACTGTTCAGGACGATATGCTAGCTTGAACATTGCTTGTAAACATTTGGTGTTTAGTGGGCCTGGCTTATGTGCTGCTTTAAGTGAAAAGTATATGTTGTTTTTTCCGGGTTTTTTTTTTTTGTTTTCCTTAAATCTCAAAAGTGTTCACAGCTTACCGTTCAATTGGTGATTAACAGTGAGGGTTCCCTGTCACCGTAGTTAATAAAGTTAAGCTGAGTAATTTTGCCTGACTTTCTATTTCTCTGGGTCACATTTGTTACAAACCAGGTCAGGGTTATTACCTACATAAAGGAGTACCTCATTGATGTCGAACCCAAGCACCCACCATTTTAGTTTTTTTTTTCTCATAGAGTGGTTAAAGGTGCTACATGTACTTAAAAAGTACATTACCAAATCTATATAGATTTTTATTGTTTGATTAATTATATTATATCCTCAAAACTGGTTGCTTACTTATAAACATAGCCAAAAAGTTTTCACAATTTGGTGCCCTTGAGAAAGGACAGTCTACACTGAGAAAACCACTTGGCGTTAATTGTGCCTTGCAAATAAAATTATCTACAGCTGTCAGACCCAGCTCACAGAGCAGGCAGAAAGGGAGAGACTTCCTCACCTCTCACACACACCTCCCACCATGTCTGATTCAATTATTCCAACAAACAAGCTTCATTAATACAAGTAAAACAAACAAAACTCAATCAAATACACAGCATAGAGGCAGTGTCAAAACACATGACCATAAGTATAAGGTGTTTGCTGTAAGTCCTACAGTTATTTAATATCTAGAGATCAATGAGTCAGTTACGACATGGCAACTTAACCAAGTTGAATCATTTCACACGCATCTTGTTACTAATAATGTTTGAGATTTCAGTTTGGAAGACAGGTAGTAATTTGAAATTTTGAACAAATAATCCAGATGTTTTTCTTATCAAGAATCATTGAAGATCAGATTGATGTTAGGAGGTGTAAACTGTCCCCCTTTTGCATTGCTTTATTATTTTTTATTATATATTTTGTCAATGGATATGAAATATAAATCACCAAAGGAAACATGCAAAATCCTGATCAGACATTATAAGAAGTCTTCACTTGTTATAAACTCAATAAAGGTTTTCTGATTGTTTCTTGAGGAGGGTATGTAAAACTTGGCCCCAGTGCAGCACATCTTACTTGTTGGGTCCTTGGGAAACAGGCTTCAACCTCCTCTCCTGCAGTAGGTGGCTGGTGGGCCTGGTGGTCACCTGTATTTAGTCATTTTCCTGTCATCGTGCCCCAGAGCAGCTGTGGCTACAGTGTAGCTTACCACCATGTGTAAGAATGACTGAATGAAGTGTAAGGTGTGTTGGAGTCCTTGTATAGTGGATTTACACTACCATTTTCAACAGGCCTTTTTTAATAGCATGTATCAAAAATTTTAAAGAATACCTCTTTTGCATTGCTTTGTTAGTTTTTCTGATTAACTGAGTTAGGGTCAGATTACTTGTATTTAGTTGGATGTTTTTCTTTCAAATGATAAAAATAAGAGACAACATACCTTGATATCACTGTAAACAGGGTCGAACCTGGGCAGGGAAACCTCATTGGATTGTCAGCTGTTAAGCATGCTTGATAAATTTCAAAATGATGAAAGTTGGAAAGGGCATCAGGATTAGGATGGAGGGGAGGGGAAGAGGCTTCTTTAGAAAGAGAGATGGTAGGGATGAAATTAATAAATGAAATTGGAGTTAATTATAAAAATTCAGCAAATGTGAACCCTCTTTGCAACATACATGTTTTTTTGTTTGTGTTTCTAATTCAGGATGGAGTGAAGTAATATCAGCCTTCAGCAACCCTTTAACACACTGTGATAATGATGTAACATCCGCTGAAGTCGCCACAAGATCAAGTAAGTGTTTTATTTCCTTCTGTACACAACAAACAAATATACAGTTACATTTTTTTATTTTTGCATTAATGGTATTTATTGTAGTACTTATAGAGAAATGGACAGCGGGAGAGGGGGATATAGGTGGAGCAAAGGTTTCAAGGATTAATAGCCTTGTATATAGCGCATGCTCTACTGCAATGTAAATCAAGTGACTTTTCGGTCAAAATATTCTATTTTTAGAGGAAAAAACCTCATTGAACAAAAACTAGCCATTTTCAAGTCATGATTTTGGTTTTTATGATTAAAAAAAGTACTCAATAGAACTTGATCTGTGTAAAGTATAATTTGCACTCTGATACCAAATAGCTGGTTGTCCCAACAGCAGAAGCAGGGAATGCTATTAAGCATTTTTGACCTTGCTATGGATTGATTTTGGCTGTTTCTTTGCAGAATATGCTTCTGATTTAGCCACCTGATAGTTTTAAAGGTTTTTAAGGATATTTAGAGTCTTTTAGTGAAATTTTAAAATTAAATCCTGACTAGGCAACATGACAAGTTTGTAACTCTTTTATATGTGCAATGTTGACATGTCTCTTGTCAATGAACACAAACTTTAACTTTGAGGTAAATTAGTGATGTTTTAGATGTTCTGGATTCTATTATAACCTTCTGGAAAAGTGGTTACTGACCTCTTGTGGGTATTTTGATGGACTGGCTACTGCTGAGAAAGTTCACCCCGCCCTCAGGCCTTAGAAATTAGTGTTATTTTTTTTTATATACTGATGTCAATGACTTTTTTCTCATTTGTTCTTTCATTTCTTTCAGATTGGGCCATGAGTGTTATTTTGTTTGGTTGCTTGTCTGTATTTGTAAGGTGGTGTTTAAATTATTTTTCAATTCTGTCACTCTGACAATAACTTATACTTTCACATAAGTTGAGGGTAATTTTGGCACATTTGACACACATCACAATAAAACAGTTTGTATTTTCCAGTGTAAACTTTTGTTTTATCTGAACAATTGAGCTTTTGAGAAAGTACGAGAAATCTGTAAGGGAGTAAACTTTTTTTTTACAACACTTAATATGCATGCAAATTACAGTAATAACACACAAAAAAAATCTATTCTAAATATTTTTATCCCTCAACAGGTTGGACCAGTTTAGACTTGAAAGAGAATCAAAATGTGAAAATCATTCGGTACAGTGAAGTTTTGAGAAAATGTCAGCCAACAGTAATTTGTGCTCCTTCACCCAAACAAAACCAGATGGTGCTACAGAGAGACCAGCTGTTTTCTGATGGAAAACACCCTTTGTGCTTTAAAAAGCTCACATGCTGTCAAAGATCAGCCTGGACAGTGTCTCCGAAGAATGCTATGGAGCAGCTCAATGAGTTACACCCTGGATTGCAGTATGACATTTTGTCTAAAAGTGGTCCCCTCCATGCACCAGTGTTTTCTGTTGGTGTGAAGGTTAATGGTTTTGAGTTTGAGGGTCAAGGATCTACAAAAAAGCAGGCAAAGATAAAGGCTGCAGAGCTGGCTCTACAGTCGTTGGTCCAGTTTCCAAACGCCTCCCAGACTCAAAGCACAATGGAGAACTTTGATTTTACAGCAGATTTCTTTACAGAGTTTGAACCCCCTTTGACTGAAAACTGCAAACGTCTGCACTGCAGCGGAGAAAGAATGCAGGTCCTCTCCAACATCAGCAAGAGAAGAAACAAACATTCCTTCACTCTGGACCTAATTTCCTCAACAAATCCCAACAGACAGTCTTTTCCTTTAAAACACCAAAGTCCGGTGGCGCTTCTCAATGAGTTGTTACCAGGACTCAGATACATGTGTCAGGTTGAAAGAATCCATGGCACACCACTTAAGAACTTCATCATGATGGTTAGGCTGGAAGGGAAGGTATTTGAGGGTTGTGGTCACAGTAAAAGACAGGCCAAGGCCCGGGCAGCGGCTGCAGCTCTACAGTCTCTTTACAACGTAAGTCTGGGACCTGAAAGGAAACTAATCAACTCCCAGGGAAGTAGGACCAAACATCATCTACCTCAAGTAAGTAAATCTGACTTTCATTTCTTTTAAAATTAAAACAGTATGTGTATAAACAACCAGGCCATTGTTAGTGCATCCAACCTGTTAACAACAAAACTGGGCAGATAACCAGTCTACCATGATTTTTCATATTGTTCACAAAGACAAGAAAGAGGATTAGAGTAATATTTAAACTATAAAAAGACCAGTTTTGATCCACACAACACCAAGAAGTTCAGCAGATAGAAGCAATTTCTACCCAGTTTTGTATCCTTTAAAATTCCTCTATTAAAGCCGTTCAGAAACAATTTATACCGTTTACAATTTTCACTAACAAACACCACATTATGCTTAGTAATGAGGTGTCATCAGACATTCAAAATATCAAATTAATGGGTAACAAATGATATCATATTGTCATAGCATCATCTTACTATTTGATGGGAGCAGTGAAAAAAACCTTGGTTCAAAACCATCATCTTGGAATGGACCTTCACAAGGTATAGTGAGTGAAAAGGAGCAGAAAGAAGAAAAAATGTATGATATCTGCCCCTCAATTCAAGTATAAGTATTTAAATATTCAAGGCATAATGCAATTCTTATGTCAGTTTTTTTGCAATTTTACCACCAGATAATGAATATATCAGTAACTAGAACTAGAAGTTATAGTTAATCAATATGTCATTCAGATCAAAGTTAAAACCAAGTAATTACCTTTAGTAAAATGATTATAACCGACAGTTTTCTAGATTACAGTGTTGTTAACGGCTTACCTTTGTGGCTGGACGTTTTGGACTGGCTGTTAAAATCAAAGTTGTCTTCACCATCAATAAATGTCAGTAACTTGGTTTATACTTGAAGCAGTTATTAATCATTAACCACAAAGAAAATATTTATCTCTGTCTCAAGTTGTTAACTCAGAGGAAGTAGGCTCAGCTCTCAGAGAGAATCACTGTTGTAACACAGACAGCCACAACTTACTAACCTAACAATCCCTCTCACAGTATTATTACGTTTAATAAACTATCCAAACACTACAACTATTGGAATAAACGCAGAATACATGAATCAGTAATAAAAATAAAATAATAATGAGTTCCTGAGTTTGAATGAGTTCTTGATCTTGGCAACACTTCGTTTGTCACGGCAACCAATAGCTTAGCAGCTAACACAACTAACCCATAGCTAGCAACAGCTAGCCAACCAGCCACAAACACACTACTGCAATCAGGCTGATTCTTGTACGTTAGCAGCAAGGTTAGGATGATAACTTAGGGTGGCCATTTCTATAGCACCAAAAAGGAGGACATTGTGCGGCATATCAATAAATTACTAAGGTGTACATAAGAATCGGGTAAAGTCACATTTATAGCACAATTCTTAGTAGTTTAAAGAGGATGCTTGAGTAGCTGAATAGAACAAAAATATTAAAGAAATGTAAAAAAGAATTGGTTCCCAGCATTTGTATTTATTTAATACATTGTGGTGTTTAAAAAGTGACCATTTTTAACATGATTAATTTGCGCAGAACTGCTGCAATTGATCATAAAGCAGTTGTTTGGAAAAGAAGCTCGAGAAAGAGCTAGAGAATAGGACGATGCAAACTGCAAAAAGTGGCTGGAAAAGAGGAATTCATGACATGGCTGCAGCCTGTCGAGAGTAAAGATGATTTCACCATGTTCTCTATCTATCCATATCTATATCTATATATATATATATAAACTTGAGTGTTGGGATCCAAGGTTTGCCCTCCAGGGGGCGGTGTGGATCCCATTCTGTAGCTTCTGTTTTCTGTTTGGTTCCCGTCCTGTGAGCTTCTTTTCTGTTGGGATCCAGAGGGTGCCCACCAGAGGGCGCTGTGGATCCTTCTGGGAGCTGGTTCTCAGCACTCAGCTGATTCCTATCAGCTCTGCTGATTAACTGCTCACCATATAAGCTGTGTTACAGCTTCCCTCTGAGCCGGATCGTAGCCATGGGTTTCCAAGCCTTGCCACGTTCTCCCATGCTCTGCCATGTGCTGCCTTGCCATGCTCTTCCATGCCATTGCCATGCCTGCCTGAATCTGCTTAGCTGTGCCTGTTAAACCCAGTCTGTCTGAACCAGCTAACCAGTGAGTTTGAGCTTGTTTATCTGTCCCTGAGTTAACCTGTGCTCTGTCTTCTCTGCCTCCCAGGGCAGAACCCTGTGTGCCACTAATAAATATTGGACTTTAATCCTGCCTCAGTGTCTGTGGAGTTCTGCATCCTTGGGCTAGCAAACCAACCACGTATCATGACATTGAGTCAGGGAACTGTGCTTACAGCTCCTTATTTCATGTAAACTAATAACTTGTGTACATGATACTTGTTGATGGCATTAAAATTATTTCTAATAGCATTAAAAGAGCATTAAATTAGAGTTCCTCATTCCTGTATAAAACCTGTGAACTCTTAATTTAATCTGACATATTAAAAAATCCCCATCATCATCCAGCAGATGTTCAGTTTCTGCCCAAATATTTTCTTTCTGTTGTGGATTTTTGTAACAGGGATAACTAGGATCATACATAGTTTGTATGAACTCTGTTTATTCTCTGCTTCCAAACTCATCATCTCTTCATCCATTCCTGCAATAAGAATTTTCTTTTAAAGTTGTGAGATTCACTCTAGAATCTCACAACTTCTTCCTGGTCTGTTGAAGCACCAATAGTCTGCATCCAATTATTTAATTAATTGCTCTTAGTTTTTGGGAATATATTCAAACTATGCTCTAATTTCTAGATACCGATCTGTTTTTACTATAATTTAATTTGACAAACCGGGTCTTCTCTACATTCTTTTTTCTGTTTGGTGCGATTGCAATAGCGGGTCTTGATCTGGACGGACCGGAGGGGAGCAAAAAATAGCTCAGCTCCGTATTTTGACGGTGAAGGACGGAGAAGACGTACGTGGGCGCCGGTGACGAGCGGAGGATGTGGAACAGCTCTCATTGATTTACATGACAGACAAGTACTCCGTACGTGAGCGGGGCGGAGCGCTGACGGAGTATGTGGAGTAAAGGAGGACAAATACACATCCGGCTGGGTGCAGCGCCGGACGCCGGACAGTGCAATGAAAATCCGGACTGTCCGCCCTAAAGCCGGACATCTGGCCACCCTATGATAACTGCAGGTCAAGGACCACAAGATGTTGGACCGCACAAAAACCGGGTCTTATAAATATCTTTGGACCATAAACCCAAACAGCCTTTTTACAAGATGGCCGATCAGCAGACACATTTCAGTGGCAGTGTGCATAGAAAAGTGAAGTACTGGAGGACTGGAGGAACTCACGCATTGCACACAGGGACAAACAAGATTAAATAAACTTTACAATGGCTGTAACATTAAAACACAGAATTTGATAAATTACTTCAAGAGTTTCTTTTAAATAAAAAAATAGCATCTAACTACTAATTGTACTTACGCAGGCAAGCTACTCTTTATAATAATACAAAGGTCTTTGACTTGTTACTGTCCCATGAGAGGTGAGAGGCTGGACTTTGGCCGGTGTAGGTACCAGATCTGCTCGGGGCCCTACTCTTCTTATGTCATCATGTCATGTCTGTATTGCACCCATTTCTTAAGAATCAGAACTCTTCTGGAGTGTCAACATATTATTACCCGTGTTTGCTATTATTTTACGTTTCATAAGTGATCTAAAGTAGCCAAAAGTTAGAAAACAATCATTGTCAGTCTTGAAGGAAAACACTGGCTTCTAAGACAGACGGAGCTCTGCCATTTAACAAGGTGACACAAAAAGACTCAGGAAGGCAGGGGAGGACAAATTGAACATCTTTAAAAAATGACTTTGAAGAAAACTAATTATTCTACTTGTAGAAAATGAACAGTTGCGGTTGACACAAAGTTAAAAGTAGAGCAGCTTAACATGACTAACTGACCGAGCCAGGAAGCGCCTTGCTCCTTTATTACGGTCTTCTTACAATTTTATACAATTGTGTGAGAAGCTCAATGAAAGCTTTGCATAAAACTATAAACAGAAACAAAAACAAAATATGCATCAGCTCTAAGTGTCAGAAAACATAAAATACAATTAACCTTAGCTGTCCTTAAGAAAAAGTCACAATCATTACTATGCAAAAAAAAAAAACTATTGGGACATGGCTAATTACTGGATTAAACACATTTGAAAAACAATCTCTAAATAAATTCTAATAAAATATATAGCTCAAAACAGAACACAGATTGAACTTACAGCCATTGCTTTTGGAGTTGTTAGAAAGGATTGGTGATACAAGAGGTGAATTTTGTACATTAAAAAAAACTTTTCCCAACTGCCAAAGCCTCTGATACCCACAATGCACTTCAAAATCCAACTCAAAATTTGCCTTTAAAATAAGATACAGATCACCAGCTCCATTGTGAGAAGCTGTATCATCTACTGCTTTCCTTCATCGAGTATGGATCCTGTTTCTGCCTTGGCCACTTGGGAAACTCGGGGTCCTTTCATTCCTGCATAAGTGATATTGTAAAATCTTTCAGTTTTCTAATAACTTACGGAGCTTGAGGAGATGCAATCAGCTTAGTGGGGTGTGTTCAGTATACATAAAAAGGCAGTTTTTGAATATGAAAGAACCTGTTAAATTAACAGTATGGTTGCAAATACATAAGGAACCATTCAGAGCAGCAAAGATCCTACAATCTAACAGCTGCTGGGAGAAAGTGGTTTGTGGCAGCATTTCTCTGGGCATCTAGGCGGATGCAGATTTGCAAGAGACGGTGGAATTTTTGCCCTTCATCTCTAGTACTCTCCACCCTCCTAAACCTGTGTTATTGGCTTTAAGGTGGACCATATGCCAACCAAATGGATTGCATTTAGCATGCGGCCTTTATGCCCTGAGGTCTGAGAGATAGATGGGGTTCTGCATGCTCCTCTGCAGCTGCTAAACAACTTCATTATGTTTCAGAGCTGAATTGTCCCCGTCATGGTTTATGAACAAAAGCAGATATGTCTCCTTAGACTGAATCTCATGAACAATAGGTGGAATTATAAAATAAAAAATATGTTTCTATAAATTTAACTTGCTATAAAAATATAGAGAGTTTATTGAACACTTAATGAAAAGAAGCAACAGATAGGGTTTGAGCTTAGAAAAATCTAGCATTTTATTTAAACATTTTTAAGAAGCTGCTGGTTTAATTGAAGGTTCAAGGTTTTCAAGTTTCCAGTTTTGCTTAACTGGCAGTCAGGTTAATTGGAATTCCTGTGCAAAATTCTGAATCACAGCCTGGAATTTATATTTAAAATTCAAAAGACAATATATGAGCAAAAACAATTAAATACAAAATATAAAATAAAGTACAGTGAGATTACCTTAATAGTTCAGTAAATTTAAAATAAATAAGACTAATTCTGGGAATTGTGAGCTTGGAGTGAGATATTAAACATGTAATTAAGATGAGGTAGGGTTTGTCTGTTTGTTTGTAAAAAAGCCAGTTCTGTGGGTCCTGATACTGTCTGACCAGCTGAGTCTCAGGTTGTACGTGCAGCGTTTGTGTCTGAGCAGAGGGTGAGCGGGTTGGAGCGAGCCTCTGATGATACCTTCTGCTCTACAGTGATTTGTGTACAACTCGCCAAAACAGGCAAGATCTGTCCCAATAATATTCGCTCTCAGCCTTTAGAACCCTCTGCAGAGCCTTCGTCTCTGCCTGTGTGGTATTTCAGATTACAAGCTCAATGCAGAACCCCCCCCCCCCCCCCCCCCCATTGCTTTAGTAATAACTGTCTGTCAAGCAGGGTGATCCATTAATTAATATTATTACATCCAAATAGGGATGGAGGTGCAGCAGACCAAGAAGATGGATGTGAAGCATAAAGGAGGTGTGAAGGGCATAATGATCCCCAGATACTGGTTTAACTCAAATGTTACATAAACAACCTTATAGAAATACTAAGAATAAACACTGTTTTTTTCTCTATCGTTGAAGTTTAAAGTTTTGTTCCATGTTTCAGGTCATTGTCCTGTAGTTTTGTGAAATGTTCAGCTGATCTAATCAATTTTGGAGGGGGAAAAAAAGGTAATAAAAATAGGCTAAGCATAAATAGCCAGAGTAACCTTTACTTTAACATTTTGATTCTCTTGTTTTTGTATATTTGGTGCTTTTTTTGGGATCACTGTCTTGCTAATCACCCAGTTGGAGAATTATGGCAAAAGAAATAAATAACCAAACAAACCCAACCCACTTCAAACTGTAATTATTCATATTTACTAGATCTGTTTTACTAGTTACATTTAGGTCTGACCAGAGCCAGAACCATATTATCTCAAAAGGTGAACCATTAAGCATTAAACCAAAAAAAAGTTACATAATAGGTGCAGTAATAAACAGCACTGCAGCTGTTTTATATCATTATTTGCAATCCTTCTCAAAGCCAATTTGGAAAGGTTTTCTTGACAAAAAAATATTAGTTAATTGTAAAAAATTAGTCAATATTTACAGTAGTTAAATTTGGTATGCAGTTACCAACCTATAAAACAAGGCAAGAAATTTACAAGACACTTTATGGGTTCCTTTGATTCTTGTTTTGCAGTTCTTTGCTGAGTCGATCTATCACATGGTTAGAGAAAAATACAGTCAGCTCACTGATGGCTGTTCCTCTTCTTCTCACGGTCGTCACAAGGTGCTGGCCGGCATCGTAATGACCCGAGGTGAGTGACAGAAAATCTGACCTACAGTAGCAAAAGGTGCTAAATCATTTAGGGAGATATTTCCTCTTCTAAGTCCAGGTTTTCCAAACTGTCATCATTCTGCTGAGTTTCAGATGTTTGTTGTATTGTTCATGACTTAATATAATTATGATATTTTTTTTTTTTAGATCATCAGTTATCAGTGTTGGTTGTCTTCATATGAAACTATTTCATAGATTTTTCTTTATTCCTGCCTCTAACTTTTGATAATGGGGATGTTTTCTTTTTGCCATACATTTTTAAATGATATTATCTTATCTTTTTAATTTAGCTTTGGCCTGCTTTTTTTCTGCTTTAAAACACTTTTTTAGAATTTAGGTCTTTGAGATTGATGTATTATATTTTGAAAAGTTAGTTTCATTTCCCATTATTGTATAACGTCCATGTTTCTAAAAACACAGTCTTCAATTAAAAACAAACAGTACTCATTCAGCTTAACAAAATCTAACAGTACATTTTGAAAGTATTCATATTCGCAAACCTGTTCCACACTTTGTCACCTTACAGCCAAAAATTTCTACTGTATTTTGTTGGATTCTGTGCAGACTTGCACACAGAAGTCAAATAGCATTACTTATTTCTGCTTGTAAAAATATTTGACATATAGGACTTCTTAATCACTCCTACTAATTATTTCTTTTCTTTAACCACCTTTAATGCACCTGTTTCAGATTATTTCTTTACCTGTTTTGCAAAATAACTTCAGCATTGTCAAACGGAATGGAAAGCAAAGCTGAACACCAATTATCAGGTTTTGCTATAGAATTGTTTTTTTTTATTAAGGTTTGAACTTTAAGTGAGCCATTCTAACATTCATAAGCTTTGATATAAGCTGTTCTGCATCTAAGGCTTTAGATTTGCGTCACAGCCCAACCTAAAGGTAAAGCTCCTCCCCCCTGTTTTAAGAGCTTCCGGAGTTGTCTTGTTTTTAGCTACGCCCATCCTTCTGCCAGTTTCAACCTGACTCATTGTCCCTGGTGAAGAAACATCTCCACATCATAATGCTGTCATCACCATGTTTTATTCTGAGCAAGGAGGTTATTTAGTATCATGTATATATTTAATATTGACCAAGGCAATTTGGGTCTTCTCTGACTAAAGCACCTTCTTCCTTGTTTAATGTGGTCCATGTTTGAAGTTTGCCATGGTCTGTTGCAAACGTAAGACTTTTGGTGCTTCTCTGCTCTAATAATGTTCTCCTTGCCAAACACGAATATGGAACAGTTGGAGGGATGTGAATACTTTAGCAGCATATAAATGCATAACCTGACTGTTTAAATGCAGTCACTCTCTGTTAAGGTCTACATTCACTCCTCTGTTCTACACTTCTCTCTTTTTTCTCAGGCTTTGACCTCAGATCAGCCCAGGTTGTGTCTCTGGCCACAGGAACAAAGTATTTGGACTCTATGACAGCAAAGGACGATGGTTGTACTCTCAGAGACTGCCATGCTGAAGTTCTCAGCAGACGGGCGCTGGTTCGATTCTTCTTCACTCAGCTGGAGCTGGCACTTTGGTAAAAGTTTTTTTCCTATCAGATTATCTTTATCAAACGTTTTTCAGAGGTTCATTATTGAAAATGTCCTTTGGAAAATAATTTTTGTAAAAGCTAAACTTTAAGCTTTAATTTACCTTCATACGATAGATGTATCGTATCATGTATGAAACATGATCTATTCCATGTTTATTTCTTCTTTTGATGAAAATCCATTTATTTTGTTAGGTTTGTTAGTTTCACAACTGGATTGTAATTTTAGAGTTAAAAGCAGCTTTATTCTTTTTGGGACAGACGCAGTAAGTTATATTTATAACATAGTTACATATGTATTAATTTTACATAGTGTTTGCATATGTTACATATGTCATTTTCTTTACTGAATTGTCTAAAATAGAGTATTTCTTTCATCCTTTTCCCGTCCCCTGTTTTCTTTTTCACCCGCTTTATTCTTTCAAACTGAATTATGATTGAGCTGTGTCCTGTCTGCAGGTCTAATTTAATAATTGAAAATAACACAAATGTTTATTAAACTAGTTTAACATTTTTCCTTAGATCTACAACGTGAATCTTTTACCATATAAAAATCTTGTTAGATTACCAAACATGGAGAAAATAAATAATTTTTTGTCTCTCCAAAGTGAGCGAGAAGAGGGGGAGGACCAATCCATATTTGTAGCAGATAAAGACTCCGCCTACCATTTTCAGCTGCGAGAGGGGGTCCGCTTCCACATGTATGTAAGCATGTCACCATGTGGGGATGCTCGACTCAACTCCCCCTATGAAACTAAGCCTGCATGTAAGAAAAACTTCATAATGACTTTGAAAAAACGCAGTTCTTCTGTATAAATCTCACATTGCTTCTTAAAGCAGAATATCAAGGCCATAAATGAAGAGACTGTTAGGGAGAAGTGAATTAATAGCAGACCAGACACCATTTTAACCTCCTAGCTGTGTTTGCTTCTCTGTCAGATCCCAGCAGGAAGTTTCGCTGCCGCCTCAGAGTGAAGGTGAACGGTGGCGAGGGGACTCTGCCTGTCGTTTCTCAGAGTACCCATCAGAAATGGGACAGTGTGGTGCTTGGTCAACCTGTCCACATGGCAAGCGTGTCCTGCACAGATAAAATTGCAAAGTAATTGTTTTTTTTCTCAAATTTTAATCACATTAATATACTTTGCCTCTAATTGCTTCAAGCAGCACTGTGTAACTATTAGCCACTAGAGGCACTAGACCGAAAACTTCCACCCTGAATGCCTCTGACAACACTGCACTGTTACAAAATTAAACAGTCTCCCTCCATGTTATGGAATCTAATAGCAGACCAAAATTGACAAGCAGAGAAGTCATGGAGATCCTTGTAAAGACAAGACCACATTCGCCTATCAAGATTAAATCATCCATCAGAGAACCAAAAATACACACTTTTGCCAAAAGTTTTTGCTCACCAACCCAAATGATTGGAATCAGGAAAAAATGGCAGTAGGTGCATTTTTGATGGAATGGATCACTTATAGTTGCTCAGTGAATTTCAACTAGAAGTTTGATAGGATGCCACCTGGTCTACAAATCCAAGAGTAAAATGTCCTCGCTCCTTAATATTCCATAGTCAAAAGTTAGCTGCATCATAAGAAAGTTTTTGGAATTGACAGCAACTCAGAAATGTAGTGGTAGACCAGATAAACTAACTGGATTCTGAAGTCCATAGTGGGAAGAGGTTGCCAACTTCTTACGGAATCAATCACTACACACATCCAAAGTTCATGTCACCTTCAGATTTGCTGAAGAGCAGAGAGCTTCATGGAACTGGCTTGCATTGCACTTACCCAAGCTGTAAGTGCAATGCAAAGCATCGGATTAAGTGGTGTCTGACTGCATTGTGCCAATTGTAAAGTTCGGTAGAGGGGTGATTGTGGTGTGGGTTTGGTTTTCAGGAGCTGGAGTTGGTCCCTTTGTTACAGTGAAAGGAACTCTAACTGCTTCAGCATATCAAGACAATCCCAAATTCCAAAATTGTGGGAACAGTTTGGAGCTGGCCTCTTTATCTTCCAATATAGAGCACAAAACAAGGTCCATAAAGACATGGATGGCAGAGTCTGATGTGTGAATGAACTTGACTGTCCTTCTCGTCCAACATCAGTGTTTGACCTCACGAATGCACTTCTGGAAGAATAGTCAAAAATTCCTTCTTGTGGACAGCCTTCCCAGAAGAGCTGAAGCTGTTCTAGCTGTAAAGGGTGGAATGACATATTGAATCCTTATGGATTAGGAATGTGATGTCACGTAACTGTATGTAAGTCAAGGCAGGGAGCAAATACTTTTGGCAATATATGGTATGTCTAATCGTTAGATTAGACATACCATATATTGCCAAACTTCTGATTGCCAAACTTCTGATTGCCATATATTGCCAAACTTCTGATTGCCATATATTGCCAAACTTCTGATTGCCAAACTTCTGATTGCCATATATTGCCAAACTTCTGATTGCCATATATTGCCAAACTTCTGATTGCCATATATTGCCAAACTTCTGATTGCCAAACTTTTAAGAGGAGCTCTTATTCTGTAAAACGTCTCTTTACGTCACAACACCATTTCAGTGATAAATCTGACCCTTTAATTTTAACAGCCGAGTTTTTGAGAATGGCAGCCTTCACAAAGTATCAATAATTCATCAACTGCTGTACATTGACCTGAAAAAAAAATAAAGTTCAGCTACTATTTGGGTCAAAAGTTACACTGTGCTGCTCCAGCAGGATTCCTTTCTGTTTCAATTGGTTCAAAGATGCCTGTTTTGATAGGTGGAGTGTGGTTGGCCTCCAGGGGGCGCTCCTTACTCGTCTGGTAAAGCCCATTTACCTGCACAGCCTAACGGTGGGTACCCTGAGCCACACAGGTCACCTGGGCAGAGCCATAACCTGTCGGCTGGCCGCCGTCAGGCACCTGTTCTCCTTCTACAGACAACAGGAGCTACTCCTCGGCTGTAGGTTTACCCCAAACCTTGGATCCTTTGTATGACATGCAAGACACATGCCGTATCCCAATACTCGCACTTCTGCCCTTGCCCCCCCAATGCAGGTTTGCACATAGAATATAGGATGTCCCCAATTATCCAATTATCCAAAGCACCCCGTCACCCTTTCCCCTTCCCCATTCGCCCCTTGTAATCTGTGCACTTAACCCTTTATAGGGCAAATTACCATTTTGATCAATTGCATACCCCTTACAAATGGAGTGCCATTTCTTTCACTCTCAGAGTGTTTTTCATTAATTTATTATAGAAGCACTTTTGTTATTTTTCTTAATATATACGGGCAAGTTGGCGTTTCTTGTTATTACTTCGACATTCATTTATGCCATCAAAATATACATCTTTTTTTAACGCTACAAAGGCAAAAAGGTCTTGTCCTGGATTCCAATAACACACTACAAAAATTATCTATAAATTTGTAAAAATGTCTTAAAGTAAGTGTATTTACCCTTAATTTGAGTAGGTAAATATGAAATTCTCCCAGTTGAAGGAGCATTTTTATCCTTTAAATCAGATTATTTGATATTATGCACTTGAAATAGGAGACTGCATTTTTCCCCCTTATTTTAAATGTATTTTTTCTTATTCCATTTGCAAAGTATCTCACTTTCCTGCTCAGTTCAAGAAAAAATGCACTTATTAATGCACTTATTTTAAGAAAAACTGACTTACTTAGAGTTCAGTTTTTTTGCAGTGTAGTCTTTGCTTGAAATTTAGATGTTAAAAGTCTTTCATGAATGCCCTATCAAGGGTTAACCCCATAAGTGCACTTCCACCTGGTGCACACTTCATAGAGGGGTGTAGGGCGCAGTGTGAGTATAAAGACAGGGCCGCAGAAACATGTCGTATTGTAGTTGTTACAGGACATAACCAGAAATCAGATTTAGTTTTCTATAGAATCGAGAAAAAGGTGATGTCTGCATCAGTTAAGATCAGCTCCATTAAGCAAATAGAGACAGGAGAGTTCCCGCAGCGAAGCAAAGCAACACACTGCTTCCTACTGGTCAATCTGAATACATTCAGGCGTATCAAATAAAGCCTTTCCAGGTGGCTTATTTATAATTTTACCAATTGTTTACTAAGAAATTGTATTTTCAAATTACAAAAATATGGAATACAATTTAACCTTTTTTCTAAGTGTCAAAGGATTTTAAACAAACCCAATATAAAAGTAATTATGATGTCAAAACCTATTATTATATTTAGTTCAAAAAATCATTAAAAGTTTAAATCTTTGCATTTTTCATTTAATATATAATAAAAAAAATTATGCAAGCAAAACCAGTTCAGTTGTTTCTGAATACAGTTGAATTAATTGTTGCAGAACTGAAACTTTTGTACATTGCATTCATTTCTAAATTTAAAGCAACTTTTTGTTCCGTTTCCATTGTTTGATTTAGAAAATAACTGACATAAAAATACCTCAGTTTGTGAAATATCAAGCTTATTATCTTTTGGCATGCAGGTCTCAGCAGCAGAGAGGTTTACACAGCTGGAAAAGCAAGCAATGTGTGTATGAACTGGAGCCATGGTGAAGGAGTTCTGGAGGAGGTCAGCACCACCACTGGCAGGAGGAAGGTGTCAGGGACTCCCTCACAGATCTGCAGGAATTCCTTGTTCAGCTACTGGCTGAAGCTGGATAACAAGGTAAACCTTCATGGAGCTAAAAGCAAAAACTGCTACAGCTCTTACAAGAGAAAGATAAATCCTTAAACATTGTAAGAATAATTATCATTGATGATGTGTAAGTTTATTACACATTAATATTACCTGCCTGTTGTGTTACAGAACTAATGTTTTCCCCAGTAGTTTATCTAATTAGGACAGTTCTCTGTCTGGATATACAGTTGTCATCTTGATTTTGTACGTGGCAAAGATTTGAAAATGGAATGAGGGCGGTGTCCTTCAGCTATGAACAAGGTGTAATACTTTAATAAGGCTGGAGCCATGGATGTCTCCTCATCTGCAAACGTATAATGATGTAGCATACTGGAGATGTATAAAATGCTTCTCTTTATCGGGGCAACTTCACGAGTAGTGGTAAGCAGCTGCCTTCTGTAACTCAAAGCAACTTATCTGATCTGAGTAAGATTACAATTTCTATCAAAATCTGTTGTCATGGCTCATGATTATTTAATTAATATACATTATGAAGGGTTATTTAAAGAGTTTGTCCCGAATGATCTCTTTTCAGGAAAAAAGGCGGAGAGAGAAAGTTTCAAGGTGTAAACACAGTCTTCCTTTAACATTGTCGATCCGTAAAATAAAGAAAGAAAACCTTATACATTCTATACTGTTGAAAGTATAAAGGTACCATCTCCTATTTTACATATCTGAATGTACTAAAGAACCCAGTGGAAAAGCTACTGAATAAACCGTATTCTATTTCATGCTTTTTAAGCCTCAACTATATGCATATGTAATTTAAACTATAGGCAATGCCACCTCTCCCAGCATGAACGCCAATTTCATGGTATTCGTATTGTTATCACACAACTTCTGATGATTAGGCTCTTCTTTAAGACGGCTGAAAAACTCTGAGAATGTCTCAGCATTACTTATGTCCAAGCAGGATCTAGAAAAACTTATTCATGCATTTATCTTTGGTAGAATGTATTTACTGCCACGGTGTCTTCACAGATTTACCTAAAAATGTCATGATCTTGGCACTGATGGCTGGCCTAATTGCTCATTTCATCCACCTGCCTAACTCTGCCGGGTTTCCAATTACTGCTTATCTAATCCACCTGTCCCTACTTCTATATGTACGGCTCAGTCCCAGCCATCAGCCCCAGATTGATCTTGATGTTTTTGTGCTAGTGCTCCTTCTTGGTTGCTAGAAGAGAGAGGGTTTTGAGCATATCATGGGGTTCCTGAGCTTCTGATTGTGACCTGCCTCGTATCACATAAGCGTGCTCTGTTTCTCAGTGGAGTGAGCAGTTTTTTAACGTTCTGCAGTGTTCCTGATATGCTAACCTGTTCTGCTGCTCAACCACTGAGACTGCCTGTTTCCATCTGAACGTACTGCCTCATCGGTATCCCTGACCTGGCTTGGACTCCTGCTTGTTCTAAGGGGCTACCGTATCTGGGACACTCTGGGCGGCGCCCGCCTCATCTTGTTGGCATCCCACCAGCTGGATCCTACCTTGTTTTCTGGAGATGGACTGAACTATTAAACCAGAGCTTTGAGTGATGGGCGGAGCCCCGCCCTAGCCGCTTATACTGCGGATCCACAGCCCGATCTCTGTTAAATAAACGCTTAGAATTATCCCACCATCTGTCTCACCTTGAATGTCCCTCTGTCCTGCTTCCTGACATAACAGTCCAACACACACCTGCAGCTGATCCAAAACACAGCTGCCCTTGTTCTCACTAGAACTACAAAAGTAGAGCACATCAGCTAGTTAGTCAATAAATTACTAAATGGATCAGCATCTCAATCCATAACAGATCTGTTGTCAGTGCATCAACCTCCCAGACCACTCAGGTCTTCTAGTTCCAGCCTTCTCTGTCCACCCAGAACTAGAACCAAACATGGAGAAGCAGCATTTAGTTCCTGTCCTCCAATGATCTGCAACAAACTCCCAGAAGACTGGAAAAGTGCTGAAAGCCTGAGTTCTTTTAAGTCAAAGGAAAAACCCATTTATTCAGAGCTGCCTTTGACTGTTGAAGCTAAACTGCTAACTAAGGTAATATTAGTTTAAGGTTGTGATTCAGCTGTTTCATTTTCTTCTCTACTTGCTTCTATTCTGCTTTTTTTGTGGTCCAAATGTTTTATTGGTTTCAACAATTGTTTTTGCTTTTATTATGGTTTTATTTTTCTTCTTTCTTATTATCTCATTAATGTAAAGTACTTTGACTTGTCCATCTACTTAATTGAACTATACAAATTAAAATACCTTGCCTTATTGCCTATAACACACATAAACACTGAAAAGTTAATTTTGCATGATATAGGTCGCTCTGCAGAGGAAAAAAATATCACTATGAACTATCCACCTCACCATTTTCCCTTTCTACCCTCCACAGCTAAACAAGCCTACTATGGGACCTGAAGCCACCAAACCAACCTACTCTGCATCCAAGATGGCAGCTGGATGCTACCAGAGGGCAGTTGAGCAGTTCTGCTTTGCTCTGCAGGGCGCAGGTTTTGGAAAATGGCCTAGAAAAAACGCAGAAACTGGATCCCTTCAATGCTAATGTGTAAATCTATGTGCATCTATAAAGACTTATTTGTGTCAGATTTTACTAATAATACTAGCATTATCTGTAAGAATTGAAGCTCAGTTTCTAAACTAACAAATGACTTTCAGGTTCTGATTTTCTGATTTTTTATTTTTTGTCCCCTTTAATTATTTTGCTGGCGTGTTTAGTTTTTGAACCTGGGTCCATTCTGCTCAGGGTAGCACCCTCCTTTTGTGTAGAAACCATGTTACTTCATAACTATTTAAAATGGAAAGTAGCATCTAGGTTCTGCTTATTTAAAGCAATATATTCACTGAGGATGAAATGAATTAATTGGTGTCGTGGAAACTTCAAAGTGCTTTGCAGAAGCTAAAGGGCAGAAAAAATCATCATACTAAGGCCATGTTTGAAAAACCATTGTACTTTTGTCTCCACAACAATGTGAAAAAAGTCACACAGAAATGTTCACTGGGAATTAGTCCTACTTATAAAAGCACTTAGATCATGACCTGGACGTTCTCCCATCCAGACTTTGTTTGTGAATAATAAAAAATCTTTTTACAGAATCTGCTGTTTGATTTTTTTTATTTTATATATATATATATATATATATATATATATATACATTTATTCGTAATCCCCCCCCCCCCCCCCCCCCCCCCCCCTTTACCTCAGCATCTTTTTTTCTGCTGTCAGCCTAAAGCTAAGTGGATTTTTGGGTACAGCAAAACTTATGTCGTCCATGATGAAGGAATACCATGGAGGCCGTCGTAATTCAGTTCAATCCAGTGCCTGGGGAGCAATGTGGGTTTAAGGGTCTTTTGCTCAGGAACCCAGAGTGGCAGTCAGTAGGAGTCCTCGGACCTCAGAACCTCAGTTTCCCAAGCTCTATGCCCTAACCACTAGACTTATGATTCCAATTCTGAATAGATGTTTGTTGATTAAATGGGATCTAATTTGGTTTTAGTGCTAATTTCACATACGATTTCTCAAATAAGCATTTTAAGGCTTTTTAATAGAAGCACTTAATATATATGAAATCTAACTGTATTTTATCTTGCACTCACAAAGTATGAAATACAATTTATTATTGATTTAGTAACAAATTCACAAAATTAACCTGTGCCAAACATTCAACATGTTTGTATATTAAAAATAATCTTTTTATACATTCAACTTTTATACATGGAACTTTTTTTTTATTCTTCTGGGATAAAACGAAAGCAGAAAAATATGAAATGGAAAGAATACATTTCACAAAGAAAAGTAAAACAATATTGCACAGACCTTTTCTCGTAAATGATTAGATAAAGGTTAGATTTACAGCCCTGCTCCTTGTTCTACAGGCTGTAAAAATTTCATAAGCCCAGTTCTTCCTGGTCTCAAAAACCCTTTGAAGCTGGGCGGAATCAAATGTCTGATAAAAGTAAAAGCTGGTTGGATAAAGCTTCTCTGTACAGACACATAGTTTACTGATGTTGTGATTCTATAGTTAAATTCTATTCCCAGCCCGCTGGGAATTTATGTTTCTGATACTTTAAGATGTTTATTTCCCTCCCCTGTAGGGGTGGTAAAATATCTTATTTAATCAGATATTATTTCAGCTGTTATATACTGTTTATGACACACAGTCCTACTAACTGTGTGTTAGAACAATAAATGAAAGAGTGATTCGAGCACTAATCATGGTCAAACAGTTATTTCTGCACATACATGGAATAAATTCACCACAATTTCTGTTCAAAATATAAGATTTTATTAACAAAAATCATTCAGCTCCAAGTCAAACATATTTCAGTTTAACACTCTCAACTAAGACTAGTAAAACTCAACTAAACTAAACTAACTACTATGTACAAAGAGGAAGGGGAAAACGGTTGAAAAAAATATTACAGTTTAAGATGGATTCTGTGTTTGAAACCAAAGTTTATCTGGAAGAATTTGGGATGTGATCAAATTAGCTTTTCACTAATTTTAAAGAAATTTGAATGTTTTCAGACCAATTGACAATGCAAATCCATGAGGTGAATAAAACATTATTTGGCCAAATAATGTTTTATTAAATGATTTGCTTAATCAAGAACCAAAAACCTTTAGTTAAATGATTCTTTACCCTCTTTGAAATAGCTAGCAGCGAATAGACATCAGGATTCCACTAAATGACTCTTGGTCATACTTGGTAATGGAAATGTAATGAGCATTTGAGGAGCACATGAACACTAATGTTATTTCAGTGTTTAAATCCTTAGTGAATAAAGCTTGTCTAAGCTTTAGCAACAGCTCAACATATATTCCTGTAGCATAGCGTAGCATGCAGTCCATTCTTTAGCATCAATTAGCGTTGTCTTTACTCCGCAGTAAACACACGATATGATTAGCATCATCAAAAGACACATTGCTTTTCCTGTCCCTAATCATGCCAGACCTGCAAACCTTTTTCCATGTCCATTTGGAAAGCTTGAGTTTCATCCAGTTTTGCAGCTCTGCAGTCAGGGGTTCTTTGTCTCAGTCTCACAGCAGGGGTCCCCTCAGTCTCACACCAGGGCATGGTCTTCATCCAGTTTGGCTCTGTAAGTTCTGAAACTCAAGAGAAATGTGTTGCAAAGGTTCTGTTTGCAGCAGTTAGGTTCTGAAGAGTTCTGACTCATCCTTGATGGTTCTGGGGATCTGGTTTCCCTGGGGCCTGCATCTCCACTGTGGGCCACAGTGGGCCCCAGCTTTGAGCGCAGGAGCAGAAGCAGGCTGGATCAGACGAGGGAGTAAAAGTGAAGAGGCAAAAGAGACAGAATCCTCTGTGCTCTATGGTTTTCTCTGGCTTCACAGGGAGGGGGGTAGGTTTTCACACCTCTGGTGGCTCCCATGTGACTTGCTGGCTGAAAAAGGGGGGCTGCAGAAGTCCCCCAGCTGTTATTCACCAAAGCTGCGTTTTCTTCTCTGGTCATCCTATCAGGATGAAATATGGACACTGCTTCCCAATGTCCAAAAAGTATGATCATGGCATATGGCACAACACTGATTAGAGCTCAAAGCTAATAGTGCTTTCAGGAAATAATATTCATAAAATCACTGTAGCTAGGAGTCAATAAAAAATGGAGCAGGATCAGCTGGACCCAGAAAATCTCTTTGGTGCAATGTGTTTGGATATAGTGAGTATTCCCAGTGGACACAACATTTCGAATAATGAGGATAAGAAAGGAATCCACAGCTTTCTGCTGGAGGTGAAGCCAGAAAAGATCCAACAGATAACCCAGGACAAAGAGGAATCTGCAAGGGCTGCTTCAACAAAAGGCGGAGAACATCAATCAATCTGCGGATAAAACAGTGGATGAGTGTGAGGAGATATTTAAAGAGCTGATCTGTTTAATGCAGAAAATAAGGTATGATGTGAAGCAGCAGGTCAGATCCCAGCAAGAAACTAAAATAAGTCGAGTCAAAGAGATTCAGAAGCATCTGGAGCAAGTCTCAAACAAAGAGGATCTCATCCAGTTTCTCCACAACTACCCCTGTCTGTCAACAACCAGTCAGTCTACACAGTTTTCCAGCATTGAAATCCTGCCGCCATTTTTTGAGGATGTGACAGCAACTGTGATCAAGTTCAGAGATAATCTAAAGAAGCTCTTAAAGGACACTTGGCCAAACATCTCACTGGAGATTTTACAGTCAGAGCTGGAAACAAAGAAGAGAGACGAATTCTTGAAATATTCACAAAAAATTACACTGGATCCAGACACAGCACATGCACGGCTGTTACTATTAGAGGGGAACGGGAAGGTGACACTGGTGAGTGAACCTCCATCTCATTCTAGTCACCAAGAAAGATTTACTGATTTTTATCAGGTTCTGAGTAGAGAGAGTCTGACTGGACGCTGCTACTGGGTGGTGGAGTGGAGCAGGAGAGCCTATGTAGCTGTCGTATACAAGGATATTTGCAGAGCAGGAAGCGGAACTGAATGTGGATTTGGATGTAATGACAAATCTTGGGCATTAGATTGTTCCCCAAATGGCTGCAGATTTGGTCACAACAACATCTGGCCCTGATCCCAGGTCCTGTTTCCTCCAGAATAGGAGTGTACCTGGATCACTCAGGAGGGATTCTGTCCTACAGCATCTCTGAAACCATGACTCTCCTCCACAGAGTCCAGACCACATTCACTCAGCCACTACATGCTGGAGTCTGTGTTGGAGACTCTGTAGAGTTCTGTAAACCAGAATAGAAAGAATCTACTGAAGTGTTTCTTCATTTTTTTCAGGTTTTTTGATTCCAAAGTGTTGTTTTATGTCTTATGTTTATGTTTTATATCTGTATTTCACTGAAATTAACCGTCAGAATTTATCAGGACTTCTATCTATCTTTTATTTAAATTTGATTTTCTTTGTTGAAATTGATCAAATCTCAACATTTTGTAATGATCTTACTTTTAGTACTTTCATTTTTGTTAAGTTTTTAATTTTTTGGGTATGCTTTGTTTTGCTCTTTGCTGTCTGTTGCCGTCCTTTCCTTCCCCCTTAGCTCCTGCTAGTTAATTCTGTCTGCACCTGCTCCCTATCAGCCAATTATTCCTCCCATATCTACACCTACTGTTCAGTTACTCATTGCTGGATCCTCTTCCTTCTTTTGTTTTATTCCTCCCTAGTGTCTCCTATTTTTTTGGTTCTTGAGTTTCTTGTGAAACTGTTTTGAACTATGGATTTTGTTTTTTTTTTTGGCATCAAAAACTGTGAATTCAATAACATGTTAATGGTTTCCCAGGTTGAAAAAGTGAAACCAGCCATTTGTTCCTATTCTTCTTTAAACACATTTTGTTGAGTCCTGACAAGCATGAAACACAGATATATTTTTCAGTTTGGACTGAAGCTGATTTCATGTCTTTAAAAAGTCTGGGAAATGTTTATCAGTGCTTTAGTTGTTTAAATTATATTGAAATAATCAGCATTTTCAATCTCTGTAAATAAACTGATTGATGCACAAGGTGATCTGAAAGCTTTCTTTTCCTCACTCTTTGTCTTTCGCCAATATATGTTAGATAACAGCAAAGAGCAGCAGTCAAAGTTCAAAGGAAGAACCAATTAAGAAACCGAGATTAGGCTCCTAGGATTGAAATTAACGGATCAATATCACTGCAGAACCCCTAAAATCTATAACTAGAGAATGTATGAAGAACATCCTGATGAGCTGAAGGGATGAAAAGGAGTCAGCATTCAGACTGTGTGAATAAGATCCAAAGAGTAATATTGTT